AATCTCCACATAACATTTCTCATATATTAAAATATTCTAGTAAAAAAAATTAAATGTTTCTCTTAATAACTACATATTACCGTAGGTAAAATTTAAAGAAATTACTAAATATCATTGTGCATTATGTTGATTATTTAAACTAGATTTCTACTGTACTTTTTAAATGAGAATGGTATTGGTCATATTTAAATAAAATATATAATTATTTTTTATTAGGGCTGTCACAATATCAGATTTTTACTACGCTCCTCATTTCTAATTTTTGACATTTAGTTTTGTTGAATGTTGAATCTCAAAAATAAATGTATGGGTCAAATTTAAATTTATTTACAAATTTTTGAAATTAAATTGAATATTATAATTATTAGGGCTGTCACAATATCAGATTTTCACTGCATTCCTCATTTCTGATTTTTCTGTCCGGCCATGGGCATTTAATTTTTGTTGAATCTCACAAAGAAATGTATAGGTCATATTATTTAAATAAAATATATTTACTTTTTTTTTTTTAATTTTTTATGAAACCTAAATATTATCATGTTTACTAGGGTTAGATTAGGGTTTTATAATCTTTATTAGAGCTAGATTAGGTCTTGAATTTCTTTTTTATCTACCTGGCTGTGTACAATGGCTGTTTGTTTAAAATGATGCTTAATCTAAAAAAATTAAATCATCCTTTTCTAAAATATGAATATGCATGCTGCGAGCTGATTTCCTACTCTTAACTATTCACAGGAACATTTAAAATTCAAAAGACCAGATTGCAAAGGGAAGGATACGATCCACGGCTCACAACTGACCAGATCTACTTTCTGAACTCCAGAGCAGGCCGTTACGAGCTTGTGACCGAGGAGCTGTACAATGCTTTTGAAGAAGGCAGGATATCCCTTTGAGATAAAGAAGAGAAGGTAGTCTGAACCTACCTGGTCTTCTAACCTGTGACCGCACCCAGTGTTACCACGATGCAACAGAACCCACTCAGATTTGTTCTGCTAGTATTTAGACAGTTTTTACATTTACATTTACATGCTTTTGAATGGGTTTCTTCAATTTGGTAGCAAGCTGTCTTCACAATGACAAGCGGAATATCTGATATGCAATAGATGAGACCGTGAGAGAGAATTATTTAAATTTGTTATTCTGATTTGATGGTAGCGTACAGGTGACAAAATGCAATATGTGCACTCCCAATTTAACCAGTTCAAAAAAAACAACCACTTAAGCCAACAGGATGAAAGATGAAACTCCACTGTCTGGTTTTGACACTATAGACCGGGGGTGGCGAACGTCGGTCCTGGAGAGCCGCAGCCCTGCAGAGTTTTGGCTTAACCCTGATCAAACACACCTGAACAAGCTAATCAAGGTCTGAAGGGTTACTAGGAAGCTACAGGCAGGTGAGTTTTATTAGGGTTGGAGCTGAACTCTACAGGACCGGAGTTCGCCACCCCTGCTATAGACTTAAACCACTACAATACTTTTGGAGCCTGAAAAGATAATAATGAGTGTATGTTAACAGACTTGAGATTTTTACTACATAACTGTTGTTAAAATGCCTAACTCCAAAGTGACTTTTAGAAAGCTGAAAGATACAGCATATCATTGTGAAGAGCCACAACAAAGTGCCTTAGATTTTACCTCCTGGAGCTTTACCCATGTGTGATATGACCAGATGAAATGCCTCACACTGACATGGGAACAAAGACTGTGACGAGTGGGGGCGGGGCCGAGAGCCGTGGGAACGGAGCGAGGCCGGTGGAGTAATTGAGTTTTGTAAACTAAAACAGTGTAATCGCATTAATTTACTGCAGACTTCTGAATGTTTAAAAGAATAAATCATTTTTACTGCAGACTCCTCTTTTCTGATTCTATTGTCCTGACATAAACATTACACTTTTGTTAAATGTATGTGTCATATTTAAATAAATGATATAATTACTAAATAAATAAAGTAATTCTTATTAGGGCTGTCACAATTTCAGATTTTCACTACACTCTTTTCCAATTTTATTTTCCTGAGCCTGACATTTAATTTTTGTTAAATGTTTAATATATTTAATTTCACTACACTCCTTATTTCTGATTTTAATGTCCTTGTATTGATGTTTACTTTTTCTTGAATCTCACAAAAATTCATATTTGAAAATATATAATAATTGTTAAAAATAAATGCAAAAATATTCCAATTTAAATAATGTAATTCTTATAATGGCTGTCACAATATCACATTTTCACTACACAATTATCGTGGCCAAAAGAATTCACGATAACGATTTAATTGCGATGTCTATTCATCTTCAACTTAAATGAATCACACTCGAAATACAGATTTTTATGGAATCCAAAAAACCGCCCACACTGGCAAGCAAACTTTGTTCAGGTGCGGGTAGAGTATCTCCCTTTCACCTGTCATCTCCTCTGACGTGATTTTGTGTGGCAGTAGCAGCTAGACGTTGGCTGTTTCACATACTCTCCGAGTGGGTACTTTTGAATACGTAATTACTTTGCGACCATGAAAAAAGTGCAATGTAGAATTAATGTAATTTGGATATACTACATTCATCATATTGTCATTGTCATGTGACCTACCAGCAGTTGCGTTGCTTCACTACCATTCACAACTCCTCTCCTGTGGCCTTATGGCACAGAAAAGTGTCCATTGGATGCACACTTCAGAATCACGCCTGAAGTAGCAGGTCACCTGGGCACTTGTGTATACTGTCTGTAAATTCATACATACTACTCACTTCACATACTGTTTTTCGCCTACTATATCATCTATCAGGATTTTTTAAATCCAAAACAAGTGAAACCCAAGGTTATTTCCATTTTAGCTCACCCACGCGCAACACGTGTAAAGCCGGGTGCACACTGTGCGATTTTTTTAATAGTCCTTTACGATTGTTACTTGTCAGACACATGATGATCATGTCACACTGTGGGATCTCAGTTGTCATTAATGTCAGACTGTACGACAGTCAAGACGCATTAAAAACAGATGCGTGCAAGAACGCGAGCTGCATTACACTCAAGGCTGAAATGTTGGCTATCATGAAAAATATATGAATGGCAGCAATCGCGGCGTTTTTAAAGGGATAGTTCACCCAAAAATTAAAATTGTCATTAATTACTCACACTTATGTCGTTCCAAACCTGTAAGACCTTCGTTCATCTTCGGAACACAAATTAAGATATTTTTGATGCATTCCGAGAGCTCTCTGACCCTCCATAGACAGCAAGGATCCAAACAAGATAAAGGCTCAGAAACAAGGAGATCTTTAAAATAATCCATGTGACATCAGTGGTTCAACCGTAATTTTACAAAGCTACGAGAATACATTTTGTGCGCAAAGAAAACAAAAATAACGACTTTAACAATTCGTTCCCTCAGTGTCACCCTCTAGCGGCATTTTGGAGAGTATCACATACGTAAACAACGTATGCTGTTCTGTGTCAGCAGCACCATACACGGATACGTTGTTTACGTTTTTATCTGAACGTAAACAACTTATCCACGTACATACTTTGCATACGTTGTTTACGTATGTGATACTCTCCAAAATGGCGCTATAGGGTGATGTAGAGGAGACGAATTGTTAAATAAAGTCGTTATTGTTTTCTTTGCGCACAAAAAGTATTCTCGTAGCTTTGTAAAATTATGGTTGAACCGCTGATGTCACATGGACCATTTTAAAGATGTTCTTACTACCTTTTTCAGATCTCATCAAAAATATCTTAATTTGTGTTCC